ATAATATATATATATATATATATATATATATATATATATATATAGTTAATTATTATTATTATAATAATTATTATATATATATATTATATATATATCGTAATAATTCAAATGTTTCAAATGTATATTCATTTAGTGAAGATATTTACCTTGATCGATCGTGACGTCATTCGTGGAATCGACCTTGATAAACGTTGACATGGTTACTTCGAACAATTTATTCTTGTCGGTACCTGACATTTCAATAGCTCGCCTTTTTCTGCCGAAACCAACTTGGCCGTTGCTGCACTCGATCTGAAGCACATGTTTAAATATACACATCTTAATAAATTCATCGGGAAACATCACGCGGATAAGCTAGCGGTATCCAACGCAGCGGAACAACAAAATAGAGAGTAACGGCCGTGCAAACGAAGTTAAGCTGTCGGTTTAATAATCGTGCGCTAGGAAAGAGTGAAGCTATACCCCTGGACACTTATCCAAGCAGACGTTAACGGTGCCGCGGAACTGAACGTAAGTGCTTTCCGGGAACTTGAAGGCTCGGAATTTCGCCGTCAAGAAGTCACCATCCACGGTGTTGAAATTTTCAAACAAGTAAGGATCGACGGAACACCTGTGCGCAAAATTTGTGTATGTTGCATCATACGTTAATATATTTCTTCAAATTACACGATGTTACAACATCGCTCGATTACCCATTAATAATAATTGTTTCCTCTTGCGTCTTGGTATCGGTGACCAGCATGTAAGTTACCAGCAGGCCGTAGATCGGTGCCGAATCATTGTCCAAAAATATCTCCATCTGCAACGGTGTACCAGGACTGACGTTGAGCTCACCGGTGACCAAAACTCCACCCTGCCTTACTCCGACACCGAGAATCGGCACTGGTGCCGATCCCGAAATTTCCTCATGAATATCAATCACTCTAAAGCAGACAAATAATTCTTTAAAACTTTCGATTTAAAAGTTAAAAAGAAGATTATTATATATAAATATGAATTAATTAAAAATTATATTTATAATAATCTTTTAAATTGCGTAATCTTCAAATATTATTTGTAAAAATTATCAACAAACACTTTTTCTTCATAAATTTTATGAGCTTATATATTACGGATATATTATATACAGAGTGTTTCATTTTAATCAATCCATTGGAATATTTCTTCATAAGTTTTAAGACAAAAATTGTAAGATATCGAGATGATTACATAATTATGATATATTATGGCGCCATTGTCGAGATGTTTTCATCGTAATCCTTTTTTAAAATGGAATCATATATTTTCTGTTACGTAATATGATTCCATACAAGTATATACTATTTTAAATTGAACGGTCAACTGTTGTGAAAATATAGTATATCGAACTGCCACACGTCGAATCCGCGACGAATTAACAGAATCGGAAACCGCAAGGTCACAATCGCCTACTTTCCAAAATGAAGTCATCAGGGCGAGCACCTGGCCGGTGTGATGATCGATGTTGCGTGTCCAAGTACGCAATTCCAGACCAGCGGCAGTTTGTAAACGCCACACCAAAATGCAAGAACACATCACGATGACCTGTACGCTACCGCAGTTATCTCCGTAGGAAGATTCGACCTACTTTACGGTTTTATGCAAAATCGCGGAAGATTATGCGCCCGACTCGAGCACGATCTATTTCATTGGAAAAAAAAAAAGAAGGCGAACCATTCGAGCGTGCACGTCATATTTTCTGGACACGTAAATCAATTCGAAGCTGTGTTTAACATGTGCTCCAATTCGTGCAGATTTATCGATCGCTTCCACATTGTGATATTGGACGACGAAAGCGGATGGCGCAGAGCATCGTCCGGCAAAATTGTATGCGGTGACAGACGAAGTAATGAAGACGAATGTTTGCCAGAATGTTGACCAGACCGTGAAATTATCAGACTTCAACGAAGAAGCTGAATGCGATAGAGAGGAGCTATGGCTAGAGAAGTAAAACTGGCAGATCGTGTTCTAAGATAAGAGATGCATGAACGCAGTTTGGTAACGACTTATCGAGATACATCGAGCACTATTAATCATCATTACGGCTGTGATACTCGTATTATTTTACACGATTCCGTTTCGTCCTGTTCGGCGACTCTGTTTTTTTTTTTTTCCATCATCTCCGACACAGAGCGCGCTTCGTTAAGTCGCTTTCTGACGCGTGACGACCTTTCGTATACGCGATACAACGGTGTGTAAAAACTACTTAATTACACAACTTATTTTCTATTGAAGGAGACACGCAATGCATCAGGCATGCTCTGGAAGAAATTCATTCGAATGTCCGAGTCGTCATTAGCCGTAGGAATTTCTCAGAATTCCCCATAGTTATCATATATATATATATATATATCGTTCGTGATTTAAATTTTCTTCTCAGGGGAAGGACAGAGCTGCTCGAATAATTATCCTTCACAAATTAATAATTGAGTTCATCTCGGAGCAGATGAACGCGCACACAACGATGCACAAGTCGTGCGGTACAGCGAGATGAAGAACGGGAGATGTTACGTCGCGTGAGACGATCCTGGGATACTCACGGCGCGATGTCACCGCGATAATGATAATTTAACAATAAAGATTTTGCGACTTCCTGGTTAAATGGGCAGCACGGCGAAATCCGATGCCGAGGTGCACGTTCGATTAACGCCGATAAATTAACGTCGTAACAGTCGGCGATAAAAATTCCCTGCCGTGTCTTCCCTCGAGAGCACGTCCCCCCCCCCCCCCGGACGGGGACTTGAAGAATGCCGACCGGCGAAGCGACTTTTGTTCGGGAGAAGGCAAGGGATCTACCGACAGAGGCACAGCCATACCTGTCTCTTTCCTCCGGCACTTCGTCCAATGCGCTAAAATCGCTCGCACGCCATGGCTTTTCCACCATCTGTAAAGGAACCGTTGCTGGAAGGACTCGGCTGTTCCGTCCGTACGTCGGCACCATAAAAACAAACTCTCG